CGGGAGCATCGTGCTGGGCACCTCGGGGCGGGATGGGAACACCACAGAGGTTTTGTGGTATCTATCTCTGCCCTTTACTCCCCAGCCCTTAGGTGTGCATGTCTCAGGTGGGAAGTGTGACTAGAACCAGACACCTCCAAGATCATCAAGTCCTAACTTAAACTGAACAGGTGACTTGTGTTCCCAGGCACAGGATGGGCCAGATCTGGGCTTGGAGGTGGCAAAGTGGGTTAGAGCCTGGCAAGGGGTGTTACCCCAACTGCTCCATGTCACCCCCAGCCCTTCTGTCCACTCCTGGTTCTCTCAGAGCTCCCCCCGTTCCCTGCACTTTGCCTGAGCCAAGACACCCAGAGCCAGGATTGCCTATCCAGAGACACAGGTGTTGCTGAACCTGGTTGGATTTTTTGCCTCTGATAAGTGAATTAGGCACCACGCCATAGGCCGTCTTGACTTCTCTGGAACTTAACTGCAAGCTCCATCTAGTTTTCCAACACAGCTTCTCTGGCATCCCAAGACATATTAATACGATTTCACTGTTTGTTGCACCCCATCCAGCTAGATCTGGAGATCTCTGCACACACAGTTCTGTCTAGAAATTGGGACCTTTCATCAGGTCATTCACATCTCACTTAAAACTTGCCCCCATTCCAAAGGAAAGGCAAGTTGTTTATTTCTCTTAGATATAATGGAAGTGGTAAATAAATATTTGCCTGTATGTTAGAACAATCAGATACATGCTTGTAAATATATTCCCATTGCGAGAGTCTTAACTAAGTTAAGAGTTTACTCCATGGAGCGTGTTTATCCGTGGGTCCCATTTCTTTGCACCACTCCCCAAAATCTTTACCTAAATTATCATCTGGCTATAGATTTTAGAAGAGGATATCACCCTTCTGCTGTTCTGACTGGATATTTTTGCACATCTCATTGTTTTTACCACAATTTCAGTTGGGGAATTCCTGGCAGATCTTACTTTCATTTCGCTCTTTTACCTATCGCATCCCAAAAGGCAAGGAAGGGCTTTGTGCTTTGTAAGAGTGGCAGGTTAGCAAGTGGAGAAATCAAAGCAGTGGACATGTCCTCCAGCTCATTTGTTTTGTGCCCCCCATGTTTGTTTTGGTGCTGCTCCTCTGTTTCTGGGCTTTTGGGAAGCAGCCTGTGCTCCTCAGAGCATGCAAGAAGTTGGTAGATTTGCAACAGGAAGCTTCACATTTCAGTTTTACATTTCATGGCTGAGAATGCTGTGAAAGCCAAGTTGGGGAGGCAAGATGAATTTTGGTGATGTGTTTTAATGTTGGGTTTTCCTTCGAAGGGCAAGGATCAAGGCTCCAAAGTTTTCTGGCTTTTCTTGGGAGGTTTTTGTGCTTCATTTTGAGGTCAGAGGTATTTCACTGTAGATCACTGTCAGTTGTTTCTGATGGTCTTATTTGGCAGAGCAGTAGTAGTGTAGGAGCTGAGATTTCACATAACTTTTCAGTGTTGTTTTGTTCTTGAATATGTGAGCCTTTCACAAATTCATGTGAGTCTAGTCGTTACCTGAATGGCTTTCAGTTTTCCTTGGCATTAAGGTCTGATTTAATTCATTTATAAATTTATTTAATATGGCTTTATTAATTCATTCATTCTTGGTTGTCAGGGGAGTAAAATCAGAGCATTGCTCTTTGGATTTCTGGGTTTTGGCTGGAGAAATGTAAAAAGAAAATCCCTAGAAATTGACTGATAAGGCTAATGGGAAACAGTTTGTTTTGCAGGAAGTGCTGTTATTTCACAATTTGTTTAAATGCGAAAAGCATAAATGTTTTATTTTAATCTTTCCAGTTAATTGAAACATTTTTTTCCTTCGTAATGCATGTGTTACTATCAGAATTCTTTATTTGTACAACTGAGAATATAAAAAGGATCTCTTGATAAACCATTTTGAGTGAAAACTCTCGGAGTTCTTTCTGGCAAGGTTCAGAGTTTCACTTTTTGACAACATGGAAATAGCCTGAGGAGAAAACTGATCCTGGTTAAGACCAGTATTTTTAGCATTTCACCAGGAACATTTTTGTTGTTAAATGGTGAATGACAGGCATTAGATAACTTTTACAAACTGGGGGTTTTACCCACATTTCACGGGTCCCAAAGTGGCCTCACTTTTTATGTAACACATCTAGAATGGGAACCTGGGTAAAATCTTCCATATTTATGATCTATGTAATTGCCATGGCCTTGAATATCTATATCCTGCTCTGTTGTTATTATCCCTAGGCATCTGCACTAAGGCAACTGCATATGGGCATGACCATGCTTTGGGGTGTCCCTACATGCTGAAATGCTGTCACTAGCAAATCAGTTCTCATCATAATATGGAGCAGAATCTGCCTTTGCACTTGACAACTGGAAGGAGGCTAACCACACCACAATGCAGGTAGGAGATTGTGTGCCTAGCTTTAATGTGGGAAGGAAGTAGAAGTGGAGGTGACATTGTCACCAAAGCAGAAATGAGGTATTCATCCCTACAAAGCGAGAACCAAGAACAGCTGCCTGAGCCCTTTGTGCAGAGAGGTCCTGCACAAACTTGTGAACTGAGATACAGGCAGTTTAACAGGTAAAGCAAAAGCCACACACACAATGAAAGTAAACCAAGGAATTCATTCATCACTTCCTGTGGCCAGGCAGGTATTCAGCCATCTCCAGGAAAGCAGGCCTTAGTCATGAATGATGTTGGCATGGGAAGACAAACATCATCGCTCACAACTCCCTGTCCTTCTCCTCCTCCTTCCCCCAGTGTTACATACTGAGCATGATGCCATATGGTCTGGAATATTCCTTGGGTCTGTTGAGATCAGATGCCCTGGCTGTGTCCCCTCTCAGCTTCTTGTGCACCCCCAGCCTACTCATTGGCATGGTGGTACAAGAAGCAGAAAAGGCATTGACTCTATGTAGACACTCTTGGGTAATTACACAAATATCCCTGACCCCCCTAGAGGAGGTGCCTGTGAAAGTTGCCTAAGATGTTTTATTTGGCAGATAGCCACTGCAGTGGTACAAACATCAACAGAGCTTCTCCCTGCCTGGTGCCAGTGACACTGACTGCCATGGGTTGCTCAAGTCCCTCAAAGTACTGCTGTTAGGCACTGTGCAGACAAGGACTGTGGTCCTTGCACCATTGTGGCTGGGTTGGTATTTGCCACAGGACACTGCGAGAGTAAGGCGGATAATAAATTCTGGGTTAGACCAAGGGGTAGAAAAGCAGATCAAGTCATCAGGGACTGTGCTGACTTCGCTCAACAGCATGACTGTGTGTGTCAGCACCTCTTGCTCCTGTCCCCATTGCTACCCTTTCTGGTTTCATCCCTCTAGCCTCCATTTCAGAATGATGATCTAAACCTGGAAGCAGGTGTAGCGAGTGTTCGCCCCGAGCTAGTGGAGTTCTTCAGTCACTGTCCTGGCTGGCTGCTCACGAGCTCACGGACCTTTCTCCCAGAGGTGGCCTTGAACAGCCTGGGTGGCATCACTGACCAGAAGGAAAAAGTCTCAGTGCTCCTTGACTTGCTGGAGAAGGCTGGTCCTGCCACCTGGAAACAGTTTGCACAGTACATCTGCATGGAGTTAGACCTGCCCCTGGATCTGGAGATACGGCTCATGAGCTATGCAGGAGAAGGTAAGAGAGATCAGGCCAACTTCCTCTGACCAAACACAGTCAATGCCTTGGCCCCTCCATAGCCAACAGACAAGTCTAGGCAGTGAGACCACCAGTGCCCTCAGAGTGGTTGATGCCTCACCAGTGAGAGGTGTCTGTCTCCTTCGTGGTGTTCAGGCAGTTGGAAGCCTTTTTAACCGAGACACTTAGTTTAAAATATGATCTATCTTTCCTTCTGGTTCTCCCTATCTTTCACCATAATCTCTGGAATAATATCAGTCCCTCCAAAAATACTTAGTGCCAGCAAACAGCAGTAGTTCATTTTTGGATATGCTTTTTCACCACTGCTGTGCCTTGCTAGTTTTGGTAGGCACCTCCTTTGCACTTTCAATAAGAATTGGCCATATTTGAGGATGGAGAGTTCTGTGGACTTTGTGGGAACTTGCACGGCCATATCACCTGGATTCCCAAATGTTAAGTGTCTCTCAGGGCAAAGTCACTTTGCCCAAAGAGAAAAATGGTGGTTTTGAGGCACTAGTTGAGTTTATTTGAAATGTGGAGGAACAGACTCTGCTTAGGAGTTTTAGTTTCTCTAGCCAAGGGAATCTCCTACCCACTCTGCAGAATCCCCCCTTTTTGTGCTTTTACTGTGTTTGGCTCATTGGTAGGTGGAGGAAGATGGTTTGGCTTTGTTGCTGTGTTGTAGGGATTCCTTGTTGTGTTTTGTGAGAGTGGAGAGTGTCATGATAGATGTGAGAGAGAAAACATGGACGAAGAGTAGCTCAGGAGCTTCTCCATGGCAATGATTTTCTTATTCAGAAAATTTAAGCTTCAGTTCGTATTTCTTGGTGAGAAAGCTTATTTTGCCAAGTTTTCTCTTTCAGATTTCTTGAAGGTTTTGAAACTGCTGAAATTTGTTGTGGTATTTTTTTTCTTGGCAGCACAACTTCTGGCTTTGAAATGTAAGCTGAGGGGTTTTTTTACCTCAACTTGCCTCAAAGCCACTCATAAAAAAAATTAGACAGAAAAAGCGAAAAGCCATAAAAACTGTACACCTCTCCCATGAAGCTGAGAGGAAATCTTTTATGGATTTATTTGAAGGATAAAAAATACTACCTCTTTGTTCTGTGGGTTTTTGATTCCTTTTTTTTTGATTTTCCTGATTCAGAAAGGCAAGAAAGACAGAATTCTTAAAATACACAAGAAAACCACTTCCCCATGTCTCTCACTGGCCGTTGGAGGCAGTGGCTTTAGACAAAATGATGCATTTCATGAAGACTATGGTTGGTTACTCTGTGTTGTCCTGCAGACTACACTCAGCATGCACATGCTCTCCTTTGTGAGAGCCTGTGCCATGAGCTAAGCTTGTGCCTCTCTCTTACTGGGTTGCTTTAGCTGGTGATTAATTCTTCTCTTCTGCAGGAAGTCTTACAGGATGGATCCTTCTCAGCTGTCTTTCACATCCTGCTTGCACTAACTTACTGCTAGTTACATCCGTTGGGTGGATGCAACCTTTGGTACCCAACTGCAGCAGCAGTTACTTTGGCAGGGATGAAATAGGGCAAAGACCAGACAAGCGACAGGAAATATGGACTGATAGGGACTTTATCTCCAGACTGAAGCTGAAACTGATTTCAGCCTTTTGATGCTGTGACCTACCATGAAAGAAGATATCTCTTAAGGTTTCAGAGTTGGCTTATGCTGGTTTAACTGGTGTGTTAACAGCTGAGCATCACTGATGCTTCTGAAGGTGAATTGCTTGTGATTAAGCTGAGGGAGTTTTGTGGCAGCTTGAGCTATGCAGTGAGTCAGTAAAGACCCTTGACTGGGCTGCTGACTCCACCAGTGGTTTAATCAGAAACTCCTTTTCAGAAACAGGGAGGAGTAGTGCTTCCGTTTTTGGTGGTCGTGTGGCTTTTAGGTCGGCCAAAGCTGCCCATACTCCAAGTTTCTATGGACTACAGAATCGTAGAAAAAAAGTTGTTTCACTGCTCCCCTGAAAGCAGAGATTACCTGTATTCTGGAGCAATCTAAAAGGAAAGGATCAAATGGGGAGCCTGAAACATGGCTGTGTTGCATTAGCCCTATACTGAGTCTTGGTTTGTATCACTGTATTGCAAGATGCTTTCCCTTTGACTAGCAGCACTCCAAATTTCAAGAGCACAATGCTTACATTAACCATATTTCATTTCCCATCTGACTTCTTTAGATAACTTAAACCAGACAGAAGAAACCTGCACAGATATGGATGCCCAATCATCTATGCCAGAAGGTAAGGCTCAAACAGACCTTGGGGCACTGTGCTGTTGGAGTTCATGTTCTCTGCCCATGGTCTGGGCAGGGCTACAAATGTCCCATGTATTGGCCTAAGGCTGGCAAGGTGTGGGGAAACCACTGCAACTTCAGGTTTCATTGTTCCGTTCTTGGTGCTTTCCAGGTGAATCTTCCCTAATTTCATTTTCTGTCCCTGAATTCCAGTAAAGCTTTGCTGGCCCTGACTCTGCTAAGGAGTTTTAGTTCCTCTAGCCAGGGGAATCTCCTAGCCACTCTACAAAATCCCTATTTTTTGGTGCTTTTACTGTGGTTGGCTCATTGGTAGGTGGAGGAAGTTGGTTTGGCTTTTAAAGGAAGAGCCCGAGGACTTGATCAAGCAGAAACCATTGCAGAGTCACCAGGATAAGATCTTAATAGAATGGACAGTAGTACTTCTAGGGCTTTCTTCAGGGGTGAGTTTGGGATCGAAACGTTCCTACTCAGTGCAGATCATGAAATGAAGGAATAATTTTCAAGATCCCTCCTCTTCCCCTGGCACTTTGCAGTGGCATCCATCACCTGAATGGCAGCCAGAACCCTCTGGAGCAATGTGAAAATGCTGGAGGTATGTGCCACCACTGAGCAATGTCCCTGGGCCCTTTTGTAACAGCTGCTGGAATACCTGGAAGATGCCAAATCCTGAGTTGCCTCCTCAGTCACCAGATACTTGGCTTCCAGAAAATGAAGCACCAGCCTAGATCCTCCCTGTGGGAGGAGTCTCACAGAGGAAAGACAAAGGTTGTGATTCTGGCACTGGGCTTGGTGAGAGAGTAAAGGGTGAAGGTAGTAGCAAAAGGAGTGCAGATTATCATAGGAAGCTGACAGTGGTTTGCTATATCCTCCTGAAATGTTGTGCTGGGGGAAACAGAAGCGACAGAAAATGAAGCCTGGTGCTCTGCAGGCTGCAGTGTGGCAGAACCTGGCACAGCAGAGAGCAAAGTGCAGGCCTTGTGTCCTGTAGAGGTGCCTAATGTTGGCAGGGAGTGGATTGGTCCTGGGTTGCCCGTTTGGAGAAAAAAACATGATTTGAAGGAAAAGCTGCCCTTCGGGGTTTTTTTTTCCCCTGCTGTGTGAATTTGGGGACTGGGTTAAGGCTCACACTCATGGCAACAGGAACTTCCCACAGAGCTGGCTCTGGTTCTTGCTGAGGTTTGCCAATTCCCTCAGTATTTATAACTTGTGTGTTTGTGTCTGCTGTTTATATCCCCTACACCTGGCCAGAGGCACTGTGTTCCCTGAGCAGGGAATGCTGCTTGCATTGCCCATCTCTGCTGGTGTTACTCACTTTAAATTGTAGCTCCTAATCTACCCTTTGCAGCTCCAGCTGTTTGTATGGTCACAGAGACACTTTTGCCTCTACCTTTTGCTCAGAACCTGCTCTGAGTCACAGCACTGCAAGTGCTGTGTCTTGTGTGTCACATACAGGTTTCAGATCTTGAAAACAAAGGTGACCTTCTTGTTCTGCAGACAGAGTGCTGCTCTCAGCTGCTGTTGTGCCACCCTAGTGAGTCAATCTCATCAGTTGCTGGTGGAATGGAAATTTGAAAATAGTGCTGAAAGTTACTAGGACCAGTTAGGAAAGGAAAGACTTGTGCCTCTCAGCTCTGCCCATCCTCTCCATCTGGCAGCACACCATAAACAGCCTTGGGAATCTGGGCTCTGCATTCCCCAGAAATAGCAGTTCCTTGCCCTGTTCCCCAGAATAGCAGAGCAGTTCCTGTGTTCAAAGTGAAGCAGGTGCATCACTCAGCCTACACAAAGACTCACCAGTGAGGTGGTTGTGGTCCATCTCAGAAAAAGCAGTTCTGTAAACAGCCTGAGTTTGCAAATAGTTTTGTCTCTCCAATCTTGCCTCTTCAGCTTCCCAAATGCTTTGCTGGAGAATCTTGCCCAGCTTTAATACTGCCATTCAAAATTTTATTTTGACACATTTCTGACTTCAATTTTCAGGCTCCACTCGACGTCGCCACTGCAGCAGCTCTGGGGGTGGTAAGGATGCTAAACAGCAACGACTAGGTATGTGGATGTTCCAGAAGCAGCACCTTGGTTTGCTTTCCTTTAAGGAAGGACTTATTTAACTTCTTTGCAGAAACACCCAAGAAATTAGCTTCCAGCATCGAGAGAAACTTTTGTCTGGTAGCTGCATAAACTCAGTGCATATAAAGGTTATAAAGACAACAGAGCCTGGCAAATAACAGGACACATCCATTTCCATTTCAGAGATGCATGAAATCTTCCTGAGGATAAGGGATGCAGATAGCATAGGCTAAGAACTCCCTTAAGATGTGATATGCTAGTAAAGTATTCACTTGTGAGTCATCCCTTCATTTGTTTGCTTTTTTAAACCAAATAAGGAGACACACTGACAATTTAAAACCCACTGAAGGCTCCATAGTTTCTCTAACACATTAAAACCTCATATGATTTCAGATCATTTTAAAGTAGAGAAGTGACCAAATGAATGAGTGATGACGAAGTTGAGCCATATTAATTCTGGGAAAGATTGGGTACCTCAAGCAGATCTGCAGGCTGTATAACACCAGTGTCCACATCCTTTCTGTCACCATCTGCACTTCTTCACACTTTTCTACCTCTGCTTTAAACTTTGTAATGTCTGTGGTCCAGTCCTGCCTGGGGTCTGCTGGGGGAGCACAGGGAGCATGGCAAAGCTGGGATGGAGCCAGGTTTGACTGAAAGTTTTCATACAGAGAAGTTCTTGAGGAGGTGCTCCCAGAAGGCCACGTCTTGTCCATGGGCAAAACTTGGCAAACTTAACAGCAGAGTGGATAGGGCTTTTCAGAAGGTGCTGCACACCCTCAATTATCATTACTGTGCTCTTTTCAACAAAGAGATGCTGGTACCATCAGGGATCAAAAAAGCAGAGGTAGTGCCTGTTCCGAGGTGCAGGTAGCTGAGGAATTGTGGCACAAGGCTAATGTGGGTGTAGAGGGAGCTAGTGAACAGGGAATGATATGCATGATACACAGATACCTATTTCTAATCTTAAAGACCTACTAAGATTTAGTTATCATATAAAGATGTTTCATCTTTCCCTGAAGTTTCTTCTTCAGTCCCTGTGCAAAAATAGTAAAAATTATGTGTTCTTTTCATGTGTTCAAAATTTGTCGTCTCTGTTTAGCAATTTCTGCTCAGGACCATTGTTTCTGTGTCTAAAAGTGGTAGTATTTTGGATCTGTTGTGGCTCAGAACTAATTTTTTCACCCTCATACTCCCTCTCTTGTCTTCTCTTTCAGATTCATCTGCAAAGTACCGACATCTCCTCATTGATTCTCTCCGCCAGAGATATGGAAGCAGGAGAGAAGCAGGAACAGCAGCACAGGAACAAACACAGACATCAGCTTTCAACCAAGCCTTTGTCAACCTTGTCATTCACCAGAGCAGAGCCCCCCACTTAAAGGAGAGGACAGACAAACCCCAGGAGGATGTGGCAGGTACTCCTGAGACAGAAGAATGTGCAGATACTGCCTTGAAAGTGTCAGATCTGTTCCGCAGTGTGGTCCCATTGGGCCCCACAAAGGTGACCTTCTTGTATGGTAGACCAGGTACAGGAAAGACCATGCTAATGCACAGGATTTGTCAGAAATGGGCAGATGGTGTCCTACCTCAGTTTCTCTTCACTTTTCTGTTTGAATTTCGGCAGCTGAATTTATTGAAAAGAAAATTGACTCTGAAGGAGCTTTTGTTTGACATGTTCCTTCAGCCAGAGGACAGCCCTGATAGAGTGTTCCAGTACCTCCTGGAGAAGGCCCAGAGTACACTGATCATCTTTGATGGTCTGGATGAGTTTGCAGCTAACATGGACGTGTCATCCTCGTCTAAGAGAGGCTCAGCTCTGGCATCTCCTATGTCCATATCCCAGCTCTTTGCAGACCTCTGTCATGGGAAGCTCCTGCCTGGCTGCACAGTGTTGGTCACCAGCCGACACAGGAGGCTACCTGACTTCTTATCATATTCAGTAGATGTGTTTGCAGAAGTTTGGGGATTTGACCATGAGAAGGTTGAGAAGTATGTTAGCCACTATTTTCATAAGCATTCATTCAAAGAACAAGCCATTGCTCATCTGAAGAATAACACCAAGCTCTTCAGCATGTGCCTCACCCCTGCTCTGTGTAATGTTGTGTGCATCTGTCTGGAGTATTTGCTACTTAACCATCAGATGAGTGTGGAGCTTCCTCAAACTATGACACAGTTTTATATCAAAATGTTTCTCATCTTCATGAACAAACAGCAGGGAGAGTGTCCAGGTGATGAGGAGACTCAGCTGAACTGCAACAAAAAGGCCATTTTGGGTCTATGTGATCTTGCACTGAAAGGCCTGGAAGAGAGGAAAATTGTATTTTATGTTGGTGATATTCCAGAGTATGTGAAGGAATTTGCTTCCTTGCATGGACTGCTGACTGTCTTTGAGGTGAAGACAAGTGGCATTTGCCCAGCAGCTGGCTATGCCTTTGTGCACTTGAGCATGCAGGAGTTTTTTGCAGCACTGTGTCTCATGGTGAGTAGGAAGGTGGACAAAAACTACCTGAAGAAGAAGTTCTTTTTGAAGTCAAGGTGGACTTTAAAGAATGAGACAAAGACTGAGTTCCTGGAGAGTTTTCACATCTTTCTCTCGGGCTTGTCATCAAAAGAATGTAGGACGTTTCTCATGTTGCTGTCGGAACAAGATGAGGCTTGGGTGCAGGATAAGCAGGATGTGATCCTGCAGTCTCTCAAGAAACTGGCAGCCACTCATCTGTCAGGGCCTAAGGTCCTCGAGCTCTGCCACTGCACCTTTGAAACGCAAGACCTCAAAGTAGCCCAGCATGTAGGGAGCCTGCTGAATTTCAAGTACGAGTTTAAAAACTTCAGACTGACACCTCTGGACATGTCAGCTTTGGTTTTTGTCGTAAACTCAGGCCAGGACTTGACTTATCTGGATTTTACAGGATGTCTTGTGGACATTGACTGTTTGGAGGTTCTGGCTGGCTGTAAAAATGTGGAACACTTGAGGTAAACACTCTGAGTGCTGTGTGCTGATGGGTGGGGAGAAGGGCTAAGGGGTTGGAAGGACAAACCTGGTTGTTCTAGAAGGGAGAGAAAGGGAATGTGAGAAATTCTGCTCTGATCAGCATAACTTCAATACTGAAGAAATGTATGAAATTGTGTTTGTGAGTGATTGAAGGATATTAAGGTGATAAATATATTCTGTCTGTATTTTTGTATGGGTTTTTTCTGGTTTTATTAAAATAATCAAACAACAGCGGAGTTAGTGTAGTAGATAAGAGGGAAAAGTGATTGGCATTTCTTGACAATACCAAGGTAGGGTCAATCCTGAAAGCAAATGTCAAAGTTAGGACCTAAGTGAAATCGCCATAAATCAGGTGAACAGGAGGTGACAGCTGCACTCTCAGGTGCTCTCTGTCAGTGCTTTGCTGTAATGCTAGAAGGACTTTTCAAGGAGGACCTCTAGGGATCCTGTTGTGGAATGGGCCTCATTCTGCATTTCTGTAAATGGCTTAGAGGAATATGTGTAGAGTTTGCTAATGTGGAGAAGATGGGGACAGCAAGGATGAGTACCTGAAGGAAATGATATTGCCCACTGTGAAGCAGAGGAGCAGAAGGAGAGATGTGAAAATTGCTATCCCTGGATATTGACTAACATTGTTAAAAGGACAGTAATCACTTGTCCTCTGCCTCATTTGAGAGAAGGAATAGCATTTAATTTACCATTAGAAAAGCTTTCTGATTATACATCCTAACTATAAACCAGTTCCTTCTATAAAAGAGGTACTTTCCCTAAAATACTTGTATATTTTATATTTTGAAAAACTCTGACTACTCTGCAACCCAAATTTAAAGTATCAGGCCTGAAATCAACCCTTTCCTAACTCAGCAGCTCATCACATAGGAGCTGTTAGACACTGTTCACATGAGTTTGGTTTGCCCTGGTCTCCTGGGCCCTGCCTTTGGTGGGGCATGGAATGGAGCTGACTCCTCATCTGTGGCAGCACTTATACATGGTGTCACTGCACCAAAAGGCAGAAGCTGTTTCTTGAAGTGTTTGCAGCTGATGTATAAGTTTAGTGTTAGGGTTTTTTTTAAACAGATGTTTGAAAAGACAAAGATGCTGCAAAAAGGAGCATGACACCAAATTGGCTAAGAAAGAAATTCAATGCTTTTTTTTTAAAAAAATGCATTTTTGCCTGCTCTGTGGGCTAACTTGTTTTGGGGTTTGGCGTGTTTATGTTCTTTCCCTTTTCATGTTTTAGCTTTCGTAGAAGGAGATGTGGTGATGACTTTGCTGCTGCTCTTTCAAAGGGCTTACAAGGAATGGGGAACCTGAAGAAACTAGAGTAAGTCTTTGCTTATAAGTCTTTGCTTATCTCTTCCTCTCTGTTGTTTCTGTCTTGCAGTTTAACTGCATCAGCTCTCAGGGCTCATCTGCTCTGTGCAGCAGTGTGTAGAGCTGTGCTGCGCAGTGCTGTGCAGAGCAGCATGGATATGTGGTATCAGGAGGAGTATTGCATTGCCCTGCTTGAAAAGGAGTGTACAGGAGTATAAACTCAGTGTCAGAGTGCTGGGAGCCTGGTGCAGGCACACATCTGAGGCATGGGTCTGCCCCTGCTTGGTTTGAATCATTCTTCCTCTTTCCAGGTTGACAGGTGGCAGCATCACAGCTGAGGGGATGACTGTCTTGGTCCAGGCTTCATCACAGTGCCTCCAGCTTGAGGAAATAAAGTGAGTGCGTTGTGGCAATGACCCTCAAATCAGCTACTCATCCCCTGGGGGCCTGGGGTACCAATGAGAATGAATCTGTGTGCAGCTTGCAGGGCAATTGGATACGGAATCCAGAGGTGAAGAGGGTGATGGACCTGTTTTCCAGAATGGAAAAGCTGAAGAAAATAGAGTGAGTAAAATATGGCTTAAACCTATTGAAAATGGTAGCCACCATGAAGCCAAGTATAGCAGCAGAGAAAGTTTAAACCCTCCTCAGAGCAGAGCTGCTGGATGTCCCTGTAAGGGGTGACTCAGTCTTGGAGATATGTAGGGCACTGAGCTGAGGCACAGACATTCAAGTGCTTCAATATGCCAGAAATAAATCAGATTTTTTGTAGCAAGAGTTTAACTGCCCTCTGCATCAGTTGTGTAATTATACAGGTATGAAGTGCATGCCCTAGCTAACCCAAAACCAGGTAATGATCCTTCTGTTGCACATAGAGGAGCTATCTCTGATTCTAAATTCATGGCAGTTAGAGCTTGCAGAGAAAGAACTATGATCTATTAATGCTTTTGTTGAGTTCTGAATTTTTTGTAGCAAGAGTTTAACTGCCCTCTGCATCAGTTGTGTAATTATACAGGTATGAAGTGCATGCCCTAGCTAACCCAAAACCAGGTAATGATCCTTCTGTTGCACATAGAGGAGCTATCTCTGATTCTAAATTCATGGCAGTTAGAGCTTGCAGAGAAAGAACTATGATCTATTAATGCTTTTGTTGAGTTCTGAATGTGAAGCAGCTGTGGAG